ATTCTATGCGCGGATCTTGGTCTATAGGTGAAAAACAACATCTTGAGGCTTGCTTACGTAATATTAAGTCGATGCGTAAACATTTTAAATTAGAACAAAAGAGGGGTCATGGCTTAGCATCGAATAAAGGAACCTCCACTTCGGCTTTTAGTAATAGAAAAGAAACCGCAAAACATCGCGTTCATTGGGATGATTCCAGTTCGGCGTTTAGAAATAGAATACGAACTGGAGGTATCACTAATCTTAAACATAAAGACCCCGGCAACTTCTTAATGGACTGTAAGACCATCTTCAAAAGCCGAATTCATAATGCGTTGAAGCAAGATGAGGCTGTCAAAGTAAATGCGATTTTTTGCGGGGAATTTGCGATTACTCAAGGTGAAAAGATGCTTAATGAGTATAAGTACTTTACAACATCAAATGCGGCAATATATAGGGATACTAACATAAATGAGTGGTTTAAGGAGAAGGTTGAGAAACCAATAATGAAGAAATTATCGGAATTTCAAGAACGTGATAGTGGTTGGGGACTTAGTGCCGTTGTTAATTTAGGAGTGAACATTAACAAATTTACACCTCAACTTGGTTCTTCATATATTGAGTTACCTTCACAAATTCAATCAAAAAAGGCATGCGTTAACGTTAAGAATGATGATGATGCGTGATTTGCGTGGGCGGTGGTTTCAGCGTTGTATCCTGTTGATAAAGATCCCCAAAGAATATCCAAATACCCTCACTACTCCTGTGTGCTTAAGCTAAAAGGGATCCAGTTTCCGATGACTATGCGACAAATTCCGAACTTTGAAAAACAAAACAGCATCTCCATTAACGTATATATTCTGAAGAAAGAGAAGAAAGATCAGTTTAGTACACTGCCTACCTACCTGACGAAGAATAAAATGAATGACCATGTGAACCTGCTGTTAGTGCAAGACTGCTATGAACAACCGAGTAAGTTCCACTATGTCTGGATCAAAAATCTTTCACGGCTAGTATCGATGCAGTTAAGCAAAAAGAAAGTTCAAAAACATATTTGTGATAGATGTTTACACTATTTCAATTCTAAAGACAAATTAATTAAGCACACTGTAGACTGCTTGCAGAAGAATGATACCGCCACCAAGATGCCTACCGACGAAAAAAAGATGTTGAAGTTTAAAAATTTTAAAAATAAAATAAAAGCCCCCTTTGTCGTATATGCAGATCTCGAGAGCGTTCTGAAACCTAGCACGAAAAAGACTGCATACCAACAACATATTCCAGCAGCTGTGGGATACTACTTCAAGTGCTCATACGATGAATCTCTTTCGTTCTACAACAGCTACCGCGGTGAAGACTGTATGCGATGGTTTGCTGACGAGATGAATAAGCTTGCGGAAGATGTCTCTACGGTGTTTCTTTGCCCCTACAAGATGCATATGACACCACAGCAGGAACTTGAATTTCAAGCAGCAACGCACTGCCATATTTGTGAACAGTCATTTAAATCTGGTCAAAAGAAAGTTCGAGATCACAATCACCTTATCCCGGAGAACAACTTCCGCGGAGCGGCATGTGAGGGATGCAACGTCAACTACCAGGACACTCATACAATTCCGGTGGTGTTCCACAACTTGAGTGGATATGATGCTCACTTTGTTGTAACAGATATTGCCACTAGAATGGACGGCAAGATCGACTTGCTCCCTATAACCAAGGAGAAATATATTTCTTTTACCAAACACATCAACGAGTCACGCATATGCTTTAGATTTATAGACAGCTTCCGGTTTATGGCATCATCGTTAGATAAATTATCATCAGCTCTAACGAACTTTCCTAAAGTCACAATTCTCTACACTACCTGAAGATCAATTTAATATTTTAACTAAGAAGGGTATTATGCCGTATGATTACTTCGACTCGTTCGACCGTTTCGATGAGCTGTGTCTGCCTCCTCAAGATGCGTTTTACAATAAATTGGAAGATAAGCCCTGTCCCAGAAGAATGTATCGTAGAGCTCAGGAGGTGTGGAGTAGATTTAACTGCAGCAATTTGGGTCAATATGTTGACTTGTACATGAAGACTGATATTCTACTCCTTGCAGATGTCTTTGAACAGTTTAGATCAAGCTGTATTAGTACCTATGATTTAGATCCGGCCCACTATTTTACACTACCAGGCTTTACTTGGGATGCCATGTTGAAATACACGCGACAAGAGCTGGAACTCCTTACCGACCAGGATATGTTTCTCTTTGTCGAGCGGGGTATTCGTGGAGGGTTAAGTCAAGTCTGCTCTAAAAGAAGAGCTCATGCAAACAACAAATATATGTCCAAATATGATTCAACGAAACCGGATGTCTATCTAATGTACAACGATATCAATAACCAGTATGGCTGGAGTATGAGTCAATATCTTCCATATGGAGGCTTTGAATGGGTAGACTCCAACATCGATATCACTACGATTCCGGATGATGCAGATGAAGGCTACATTCTAGAAGTTGATTTGGAGTATCCACAGCATTTGCATGACGCTCACACGGATTTACCGTTCTGTGCATTACACATCAACCCGAAGACTATGAAACCGCCAACTGAAGCTGCGGAAATTTCAAAACTCATGGCGACCTTAAATAATAAAGAAAAATACGTCATCCACTATCGAGCCTTGAAGCAAGCATTAGCCCATGGCCTAATTCTCTCCAAAGTACATAGGGTACTCAAATTTAAACAGTCCCCTTGGCTAAAGTCCTACATTGACCTTAATACAGAACTAAGAAAAAAAGCCAAGAATGAATTTGAGAAGAACTTGTTTAAGTTGATGAATAACGCAGTCTTTGGGAAGACTATGGAAAATGTCAGAAAACGGGTTAATATCAAATTACTAACGCAATGGAAAGGACGTTACGGCGCAGAATCATACATTGCGAAACCGGAATTTAAATCTTGCGCCATTTTTAACGAAAACTTGGTAGCTGTAGAATTGAATAAGCTTGAAATTTATTTAAATAAGCCTATATACGTGGGCCAAGCTATTCTTGATCTAGCCAAGACAACTATATACAGCTTCCATTATGACTACATGATGGATAGATTTGGAGATAACTGCACTGTTCTTTACACAGATACGGACAGCTTAATTTACGAAATTCGTGAACAAGACCCTTATATGGCTATAAAAAGCGACTGTTTTAAATATTACGATACTAGCGATTATGACCCCAATAACCCATATGGCATACCCCTTGTAAATAAGAAAGTGTTGGGCATGATGAAAGATGAAAATAATGGACAGATAATGACTGATTATGTAGGATTACGATCGAAACTGTACACCACTAAAGTGTTATCCACTAAGGACGATTTAATAAAACTACAACAGAAATTGGAAGCGGAGGAGTATGATGAGGATGAAATTGCTACGGTTATTAAAAATTATGGTTTGACTAAGAAGGCAAAGGGGATAAAGAAAAGTGTAGTGGAGACTAAAATTACTTTTGACGATTATGTGGAATGTCTAGAGACCTATAAGCGCAAAACTACATCTCAAAATTTGATTCGTACGGATAAACATCAAGTTTATTCCATAACGCAATCGAAAATTGCCCTAAGTCTTGAGGATGATAAGAGATACCTGATTCCTGACTCATTTAACACTCTACCGTGGGGCCATTATGCTATCAGTAAGCCTCAAGATGTTGAACAGATGGAAGTTGATTAAGGTTGTGATTTTTGATGAATTAGTTACAAATTGTCAAAATCCTAGGAAATTTGTATACAAATTAGGATATTATTTTAGGAATATTCTTAGACTAAAGGTTATTAGCAAACTACCCCTGTATAAAGCTAAAAATAGTAAATTCTTGTATAAATTTAAGATTTCATTGTTGCACAAGCAGTACTATTAAAAAGGTAGGCCTATTAGTTATTTTTTTATACACCCTGTGTAGAGAAATATCTAATGGGGAATCCTATAACGAGGCCGTAAACATCTCCAATAAATTGCATTATTTCTAGTGCGAATTTATTGCCTCCTGGGTGGTCATGGAAAGAGGTGTATCTAACCAATAATAATTTAACCAAAGCTATACAAGGTAGATCGATAATTCGGTAACTTGTTCCTCTTCTAGAATATACGCAGCTAAATGGTCATTTTACTATTTAACAATTACGTAATTATGCTATAAGCACAGACAGCAAATATGCCTTGTCACCTTTCTCTTAGCGATTTTCCCTTATGCCTTCTAATAATCATCCTTGAAGACAATCCTCCATTGGAGTTTGATATCGTCTAAAAAAGATATCAATGTAGGCTTTTATTACAAAATAATTTTGATACTTACGGTCCAACTCTGATGTAGACGATTATTTGCGAACAGCCATATAAAATGATCGTCGAATAAATACAATAAAATGTCACGCTTTTCATTAAACTGCAAATTATGCGCGCAAGGACACGTCACCCTAAGAAAAGTAAATTATAAGCAACTAAAAATTGAAAAAAGGCTTACCTGAGGTATATAAGCAGCCACATCCACATACACACTTATTGAAATCGGATTGAGGATGCACGCCGTTTTTAAATACTGCGGAACGTCGAATTTATACACATTTCCAATCACAATATTTCGCGCCTTTTTAAGGCAGATTTTCGAACTTTACGCATTCAGACACAATAAAAAACCCCCATAGGTACCGGTACTAATATGGAAATGAAATGGTATAAAAAGTACCTTATCACAACATTCGCTATAAATAAACACTATCGCAAGATTGCAACTTCCCATACCAAGTGAATAATGAAATCCGCGCGTGTTGCTATTTTTTTTCTCTTTATAAAATTAGGAGGATAACTTTAACGTCTTAAACCCACCCAACAGGGTACTACATAAAACTACGGAGTAGTTCATACGTCTTGGTCCCTAACCAATGAAACTTCCCACGAACTATAAACCTGGAGCTACTGAGGTAGCTATAGCTATCGTTCCTATGAAATAACTCATACGGTCCCCCTACCGCCCCTACCATCAAAAGCTGATGCTATAATTAAACACTATCGCATTATAGTAAGATTGCAGCATCCCGTCCAAACGCGGTTATTTTCTTTCTATAAAAAACACCATGACTCCACATCGCACCGCACGTAGCTTCAACGGCAGCTTCAACCACCTTAAAATCCTGGTAAATATTCCGCTAAGACATATTTTGCATTTTAAGAGTCTATTTGTAGAACGGCCTCGACCAAATGGAGAATTTACAGTTAGGTATGAATAACAATGCTGTCATTCGAAAAATGGAGGCGTTGCCGCCATCGGTCCTCTTCGCCGCTAATTTTATGTAAGTAAGCGCTTTAATTGTAATAATAAACTTCAAATCACTATTTCAGCTCTAAATAAAAACACCCTACATTTTGTTTGTTGTTTTTTCCCTGCCCACTCCTGTTCTAGTTATAGGGAACCTACCTCCGAGATGGAATTATAGGTAAGAATGAGGGTCCTCGCACCTGTCTCCTGAAATTACAATTTCCTACCCTAGTCGCATCAATCTAATAGAGGGAGTCGGATGAAAATATACCTCTATATGCATTACGACGCCAATAGATGGCGCCTCCGTATCAAATCGCTATTTCAGCTCTAAATAAAAACGCCCTACATTTTGTTTTTGTTGTTTTATTTCCCTACCCACCCCTGTTCTGGTTATAGGTTAGAATGGGGCCCCCTTGCGTATTAGGTTGGGCCGATTTGTATAGCGGATTTGAAAATGTGTAAATGCGTATGCCTGCATCTTAAAAAAAGTTGTTTAATAAGAAAATAAACATATGTCATTAAGAGACAAAATTGGTATTTTTATTTTTTGAACTGCCACAACGGCACAAAAGTTTTGATTTTATTAATTTTAAATTTTCAAAATATGCATATTCGTAGAAGTTGAATTACTTAAAAAGAAACAAATTTTCTTTATTACTTTTTTCCGTATTTTTGCAATTTAAACTGCCACAACGGCATTTTAAAAATTATGAATTTATAATTTTATTTTGAGCCAAATCGAGTGGTTAAAATACTATTATTTAAGCAAGATAAAGTTAATATTTATTATAAAACAAATTCACAAGTACATGTACTACAAAATCCGAAATGAAAATATTTTAGTATCTAACATAATAATGCGTTTATAGGTACCTATATACTTAAATATAGGTATACTATCAAACATTTCTTGAACAAATAAAACTCAATCTAATTTATAATCTTGCTTTGATCCAAAAGAAGGCATAATTTTACGTGATTCCAACTTCGCCCTTATTACGCCATCTCTGTTATCACTACCACAAACTGTACCTGAAGCTTCCGTCACAATTTTAACAGCACGTTCAACCGCTTGCGTGTGACATGGATACGATTTTATTTCAGAGAAACGCATTGATGTACCTGGATTTTTTACAAAGTCATTTAGTAGAACTGCCTCAGATAACCCTATTGTTAATGGCGGTTCATTTATGACAAGAGTACCCCAACTCCAATCAATTAAGTCCGTATAGCATGAGGCGTTGATATTCAGCGAATTTGGCACTTCAAATTGTCGTGGAAATTGCTGTATGTTAGATCTCCGAGCTTTCAAAATTCGACGCACAGCAAGCTCTCGAATATGCTCTCTGGTGTCACCTAGCATTCCAAGGAGAATATTTTCAGGATGTGCGAAGTAACTATTTCGAAATATCACTGGATCAATCACATCCTTCAAGTTTTTCGGTAAATACCTAGATAATTGTATCATTTTCCAAACATTAAAGGCTCCCTGCAAACATGATGGTTTGCTTTTAATAATGAACCACATTGGAGCATACACCTTTAAAATAAAAGTTACCAAGATAACCAAGTTTTCCGATGGTTCATCAGTTGAAACGTATAGCCGCAGAATACGATTAGCCGTTGTCAGCCATCGGGAATGCACCATTTTACCTGGGCTTCGTTTGGATAATTTTTCATCAACAGTTCCCTTCGAAATTGCACCACACATATCAAAAAGGTATTTTTGATCAGTGCTTAGATCAGTCTTAACATAACGGCGCAGTGGCAGACGTTGGTTAATTGGAGATGTGGCAGTTTAAAACATAAAAATACAGAAAAAATTATTTAACAAAAATTTTTCAGTATTTTCTCTTACATATGTTTTTCATGTGCACATATTAAAATTTTAACCTTGAAGTTTTGGTGCTCTCGTGGCAGTTGAAATAATAAAAACGAAGGAATATTTTATTTAACAAAAAATGTTTACTTTTGTATCCTAAATAAGTTTTCCATATGCACAATTCGTTATTTACAAAATTCAAAATTCGAAATTTAATTGTCGTTGTGGCAGTTGAAAACATAAAAATATATATTTTTGTCAAATAAAAAAATTGTTTGTTTCCTGGTTTTGCAACTTTTGTATAGTTGCAAATTCATATTTTTTTAAAGCACGGAAATCGGCCCACTGTAAGTATAGAACCTTTCTTTGGTTTGCTTGAACGCTTTGTTTGTTTTCCTTTTTTAAAATTTGAAATGAGTAATTTGTAATTTTTTAAAAGTAGCATAGGTTTGGAGCATAGCATCTCTCTCCTTTCCTCACCCGCTTCTTTTTCACTCGGATTATTTAATTTCAGATCACATGGAAGTAAAGATTTCATCCTTAACTGTTCAATACTTCACTAATTTTTATTCTGAAACGTATTTCCAATATATAAATATATTTTTAAAATTAAAACCTCACAATTTTACTCATTATCCAGAAATAGTACAGGAATTAATTAAAAATAGTTCATTCTGAATTTTTTGAGAGAGTCTGAACTGTTTAAAATTGAACTCGAAACTTTTTACCAAAAAACCAACACTATCAAGGTTGCTTATTAGTTACATCACCGCGAAATCCCCTCGCCCACGAGCGCCAAACCAGGAGAGGAGGCAAAGGAATCCCACCGGCGCGGCGGAGGGGGACAGAGTTCTAGCAAAATTCTTTCCAAATACCAAATTCATATGGAAATCAGGACATTGTAGTCGTTGTAAAATTAGACAATGGATACAAATTAAAACGACAATATCAATCATCTACAAAATAGGATAAAAAACTAAGTTGAAATCGGGCAAGTTTCAAGAAGATATCTGCATCACACCCTTTTCGATATGCATCAGACGAGCGAGATGTACATTTTCAAACTATCCCAGACGTTCCAGTTCGAGACAATACGCATCCAGACATAGCACTATCCGAAAATCCAGTACCAAAAATTCCAGCCCCAAATACTATAATTTGAGATGTTCCAGAATTACGTCGTTGTGAATGAGAAAGTAAGCCACCAGAAAAATGTAGTAGTTATGTTTTTGGTATTCAATGGGGGAGACTGAATTTAAAAACATATAGTAGATGCAGTACTAGTTCGATGAATTTTCTTATATTTAACCTATTGGACTAAAAGTTCTTTTTCGATTTCGAACAATGATCGTCAAAACCACTCGGGACGTCACAATTGTAATCGAACTAAATTACGCCAAGGGGTGGCGATTACATTTGTTGATTTTAATAATAGATTTCTGACTGATAATTAGCTTTCTGTTGATTAACATCCGCCCAACTTTAAAGGATTCTGAGTCGTAGGTGATACCTACTACTACCTACTCCCTAGGGACCCTAGCTCTGGTTTGTATCTATTGATGATGAGGGTACAGCACAGGCAAGATCAGATTGTATTTAGAGAATTGATTGGAAATCGACTAAATTATACGATGACAATCTTGTTCGATGAAGATATCAAAAATGTATATAAGTTGGTACCTACGTTCAATATAGGTTCAGATACGTAATTATGTATACATTCATGAATAATTTATAAAATAATAAAGACGCAATAAATCAATAACCGCGTTATAGCCGTGTTAATCGAAACTAAAGCGATTTCTTTAATAAAGTATGTATAAACGCTTCGTTTTCTCAGGTACGCGTGGAAACGCTTGATGATTTTATAATTAGCGTATAATGGAATGAAAAAAATCAAATTTTAATTAAGCTCTTACACCTGAGGTGTTATCGTTACGTGATTAATTGTGCGAGTAGTTTATGATCTTTTTCACTCTTCATTGGGTTCGCGATCGCGTTAAGGTGGCGTTCAGAATTCCCGATGTGTGTATACGTTAAAGTTGGTAAGTACGTTATAATTTTTCACGTGTTGAGAGTGCAGTATGTAAAGTAGTGCTTTCGATAAGGAATCTTTCTTACGTGTAACTTGCACGATAATTATAATAATTTCTTATCTAGATCCTTAAAGGATACGCATATCATTTTCATATTTGATCCTTTTCAGCAAAATGCCGTTTAAAGTATGGATCTTTTTCTAAACGAAGTGACAACGCTGTACTCCTACGAGTTTGATATCTGTAGTCGAGCTTAAAAAACAACAAGCTTGAGTTATGCAGTGATCAGCTCTGGCTGTGCTCTCGCTTCTGCTTTTCTGTGTATCGATCCTAAACCACACTTACTAAGTTGCTCTCACCTTTTCTAGAGTTCTACTGTACGTCCTTCCATCATCCTTGTTTACCTTATTTGGTTAATTGTAACCGCAAGATACGTTGTGCCTACTGCTGTGCTCTACCTGTACCGTACGCGTAGAGGGTAAAGGATATCTCTCTTTAATTCACAGCCGTGACTTGGTTTAAAGGAACAGAAACAGGGATAGATGTAAATGTTTAGTGCGAAAGGGATATATGTAGACATGTTACCATTTCTAGAGGCCGCCCAGACGCACGTTATTGTCTCTCAAATTTACGTGCTTTGAATAGCAAACGAGCGTGTCATTAGATACAAATATTAACTTACACAGGTCAATAATACTTTGGAAAATTTTACAATTTTCTATTTGTAGAACCTGCTAGCTTCTTCTAGCAGGTACTCATAAATCATAGCAGGTAGCATCTATCTCGTATCAGTTGTATCTGCGATTAGGCATGGGCGTATTTCACGGCCAGCCCAAATCCGTGTCTATTCATTACAACTTTTAACGTAATGCATGTTTCTGGAACTTAATTAAATTAATAATGAATGAAAGTTGCTTCTACGTCTCAGTTTTTGACTCAAACATTTATTTTCAGCGACATTCTCAAATAACTGAAATGGGACGTTTTGAAGTTGGTTATCTGATATATTTTTATGGTCATTTTCCGGCACTCCTACTTACATCGAAAAAGCTCTCACTAAACGGTAAGCTATTGTATTCTCTACGTGATGATTACAAAAAAAGCAGAATTTATGTGTCAAATTGCGTTTCAGTTTGAGGTTTTGTTAACATCTCGATTCCCAAGCACATTGTGATTGAGCGGTTTTTTAAATAATTTTCCGGGGTGGGGTGGGGGGTGGGGGGTCATTTCGCGTATTTTATTTACCTAA